GAAAAATCTAAAAATTCTTTTTTAAATATTATTTTCGGAACTTGAATTAACTAAAAAAAATTTAAAAAAAAATTAAAAAAAATCTATTTTTTTTTTAAAATACGTGAAATATTACAGTGTAAATAGAATATCACACTGTAATATTACATTGTACAGTGTAAATAGAATATTATACTGTACATATTCTAAAAATAATTTTAAAATGCAAAATAAATGGAAAAATCAAAAAATTCTTTTTTTAAATATTATTTTCGGAACTTGAATTAACAAAAAAAAAATAAAAAAAAATAAAAAAATGCGTCTCACGGTCTCACAAAATTAGGCCATCTCACATGAACCTAACCCTATATATATATATATATATATATATATATATATATATATATATATATATATATATATATATATATATATATATATTAAAGTTCTCCAGAAAAAGAATAGTAAATTTGCAATTTTTTTTGACATAATTGATCATTATATTATTATTGGCCTTCAAAGTTATGAATAGTAAATTTGGATGTTTTTTGACAACTTTGTTCCTTATTCTTTACCCATTTTGATACTTTTGGTCATTACAATCAATGTTTTTATACTTTTTAGGAACCTTTTAAAATTTAAAGTTTGGCTACAAAACTTTAACGGTTTGATAACTTTGATCACTTTTCTAAAAAGTTGCTAATTCCTACCTCTTTAATTCTTTACCCATTTTGACACTTCTGATCCTTGCAGTCAAAACCTTTACATTTTTTCATAAAAACATGAAAAAAACAGTTCGGGGCAAAGCCCGGGCTTTTCATCATTGTATTTTCTACGTCTGTCATATTTATCGATTCAGAAACAACATCGAAAATTTCTGGCCCCTGCATAGCAGGGGTAACCTTTTTCGTTTAATAATATGGATGGTTGTCTTCATGAAATATAGAAATTGAAAAATACGATTAGGTCAAATTGGTCGTCTTAATGAAAATGAAATTTATATTCGAAAATTCTAGAATAGTGTCCTCCTTAATATCACTATTATCTACTTTGGTCATTGGTGGGGATATCCTGACTGAAGCTTCTTCTCAATGGACGAATTCCTCGACAGGTAGTAGAAGTGGACCTTAAAACGAAACACAATTTTGTAACATTTCAACGATAAGAGAAAAAATGGATTTCAAACCTAATATAAAAGGTTGGACGATTAGTAAATCATGGGTTGTGGAAGCTAAAATTAGAAATGTAGTTCTCTTTTCATCCCCTAAGCCAAAATATCAATGCTTTTAAATTTCTTTCCACTAAAGCGGTCTTAAAAGTTTAATGACATATAATTTTTGTTAATTCACTACTCAGGGCTAAAGTTTGTTGACGTTTACTCAACTTCTCCATTAAAGTATTACTACATAAAGTTTATGATTCGCAATCTGCATACTTTTATATAATTACTCTGTCGCCACTTCCTCATATGATCAACTATTGGATTACTTTTTTGACCATATTTTGTTGCATGATGGTGAAATAACTTTTGAGATTTTTTGATTTGGGCTATATTTAAATTCCTTGTTATTTTTGAAATTATGGTTCCTACACCACCAACATTTATAGTAGGACTTAAGATGAGGATACAAAGAAAAGAGAAATGTATATCTTTAATGTATTTTAAACATTTTAGTTTCATAATGTTAATCATGTAAAAAAAACATGGTATTATTTGATATTTTGTATGAGGATAATTTTTCTGTTATTAAAAGATTTTGATTGAGGACTAAAGGAGTTGTAAAGTAACAGACACTTGCTTCCTTAAAAACTTATAATATTATAATATGGACAACTTCAAAAAGATAATAACATCATGTAAAATCAAGTGATATTAGGTTGGCTGTATTAATAAAAACTTTTGACTTAAATGAGCATGGAAGTTACAAAGCATTACAATTAAGCTACTGAACATTCAGTTTTGTTCTCATTCCCTCTTATGACCTCCTGCTCAGGTTGCGTTTGTTATCTTAATGATTTTTGACTTAAATAATCATATCCAAGTTACATAAATGTCATCATTTTTCCATCTAAATTCAAATCCTCACCATTTAGTCATTTACCAAATGTTAACCTTACATCAAGATAACGATGGGATTCAATGGCTCATCTCTTTTAGGTCATCCACAATGGGAGTTATATGAGGGTTTAATAAAATAAATATAATTATAATAAAGAGGAACGGTTCGACGGAATTGTAATGCAAATTTATGAATTTTTTAAGAATTTAAATGAATGTATACATTCTCTTTCCTACTTGATATTTCATACAACTCTCCATGGGTTTAATCCATTCGAGATGACTTTACTTCATCTCCACGACCCTTCTGTTACAAACATCATCCATGACCGCTCATGAGCCAATCCTCTCAAGATTCCAACAATATCATCAAATACTACCGCACACAATGATGTTGTCCCCATCAAACCCCATGTACAAATGGCTCTCCAACCTCCCATGTACACTAGAGGATCACATTATATGAAGTTTGTTGGGTGTTAGTATCTGGAATCCATTCGAAAGGTCAAGGATTCTAATTTCGTGCATGTTAGGACAATCTACATCTCATTTGTTCCCAATGACGTAATCGTAATCGGGGGACACACTAGGGTGGAGAAGTTTGCGAATTTTAAAGTTTTTTATGAGATGAAAGTTGAGATTGTGTTGGACTAAGGATCTGCATTGTCTCGGGAGTATTACAAGTTGTTTTATACAGATAAGTAGGACTAAGCATTGGTCTGTTTGGGGTAAAACTGAACACAAACATATAAGTTTGGTTTTTGAGTTTTGAAACCCGCTAGGTTTGGTTTTTGGTTTTGTGGGTCGGTTTTTCAAGTCATATATTTATCCAAAATTTTCCAAAACCATAAAGAAATTCCAATAGGCAGTTTGGGAGGATCCGGTTAGTATCTACTGGATCGGGCTAGATATTGAAAATTTTGGATCGGAGATGAAAATCCAGATCATGTTTGTGGACCTCTTGAGTCTTGATACTAGTGACTTGTGGGCCTTCTCTTCCACACACACCAACTCAAAACTTAACAAACACATAATTCATGTGCTCAAATTCTGTTACCATATAACTAAAAAAATGTCTTACTAGATCTAACAACAATCCCATAGCATGCATATTCATATTAGATGCATATAAATCGTTTGTAACTAAAATTGTATTTTAAACGTTTTAATTCTCTTATTACTAAGATACAATCATATGAACCCGTCAAAATAAGGCTATTATTTAACAATATATATATATATATATATATATATATATATATATATATATATATATATATATATATATATATATATAAAATAAAATATGAGAGAGAGAGAGAGAGAGAGATATGTCCATTCGTCAAAAGTGAGTTCTTTGCATGATATTGTGATGAGTGATCCCCCACAGTCCCAATCAAACCAAACAAAGAAAAGGAGGCTCCGATAAGAATCATAATGACATTGCATCATAAAGGAATACAAAATTACTAGTTTATGATATAAGAATCTTTAGAAATTTATTATTTCAGAAAAAACTTTTACTAGTTTTTGTAGGTATCAACTATTAACGATTAGGTAAGTTTTCGTTGTATATAATTCGCTTCTTTTATGGATAATTAATTTTATGGATAACTAATGTTTTAAAAATTGGTTTGAATCGGTTCTCTGAAAATCGCGGAAATAATTGGTTTAACTAGCATTAATTTTATGCATATTTTTAGACCGGAACGATCTGGCTGGTTTTACAAAAGAACAGTTGAACTAGTTAAATTGAACATGTTTAATATGTTAAAATGAATAAAAACAAATGAAAATGAAACATTTTACATAACAAATTTTGATGGTCGTTTCAAATCTATTTCGATTTCTTTTAAATTGAATAAAAACACATGATAAATGTTATAAAGTTTTTTTTTGTATGTGTGTTCATCTAAATCTATATTTTATTTCAGTATTATAATTTTTTTTATGTATGTGGATTAATGTAAAATTGATGGTTTTATATTTTTCTTAATGTATTTGGAGTTCTACAACTTGTTTTTATGTGTATTTTAATGTTTGAACTTGTTTTTATGTGTATCTTTAATATTTAAACTTGTGTGTACATAAAAGTAAGAAAAACATGAAGATTCTAGAAACTCATTTGAACAATAACAATATGGCTGATTTTATGATGAACACATTGATTTGAAGATGTTCCAGCAACAACACCATTATCTTCTACAACATTCGAAGTGGATGAAGATCCCTCACACAAGCTCCAATTTTCATCTGGATCCATTTCAATTGCCTTATCCTTCATATGTAAGCACTTTGAAATGAGAATCGGGCCTTAAAGATAGATAATCATAACATATGAATTCATGTAGAGTGGGTAATAGATCTAGAATGAAAGTATTTGATTTGTTGTTGCTAGGTGAATTTGATGTAGTGGCCACATTAACCTCTTATTCAGATAAATCAATTTTGAGTTCTAGAGTTGATTTAGGGGGCGGTTGTTCAGCAAAGCAACTCTAAAAGCATTATTTGAATCATCTACTCCTCCAATTTGTTCACGAGAAAGACATCCATCTTTTTGTTATTGTTCAAATAAGTTTTAGGTTTGAAAATGGAAACCGAATTTGGAGACTCGCTGGAGAAGATAATCGAGGTATCGTTGGAAAAATCATATCGGCTGGAGACTCACCCGAGAAGACGACTAAAGTTTCCCCGAAACTACAAAGAACACGGGAAAGGCGGGAAATGCCTAAACTCATACTAATTGCTAATTGGTCATAAAGATCCATCGTGTGCAAGATAAAAAGTTTAATAGACAATTATTAAAAAAAAAAAAAAAAAAAAAAAGAATAAATTCTTCATCAAACAAAAAATATTTTACCCACTTAAAACTATTTTCCCAAAAAAAAAAAAAAAAAAAAAAAGAGTACGACAAAATGTATTATATTTATATAACTCGATTCCATTTCTCCTTCACCCGATAAAAAGTTGCCACCGAATAGCCTGTCACCCCACTCACACTCGCACTCGCCACCGTCATTCTCGTATTATTTGTCTACAAATCTTGTTCACTGCATCTCGCTTTTATTTTCCTTCGCATTTTCAGATCAATTTCTAACAACTTTTCTAAATCATACACCTTCATCGCTAATTGCTTCACCAATTTAGCTTCCCATTCAATCATGGCTGTTCTTGCTCTTCCTATGCTGATTCTCTTGGCCATGGCTGGCTATTCAAGTAACTTTTCTTCCATTTTAGATTTTCTCTGTTTCAAATGGGTTTCTGTATTTACACTTCGTTTACGTTTCTTGTTCTCAAAATCTTTCATTGTAACTTTTCAAATTCTTAATTGGGTTCCTGTATTTATGTCATGTATTTTTATTTGTTCTCAGATGGGTTTCTTTATTTTTGCTTGTTCCGAAATGGGTTTCTGATAGATTTCATTTTTGAGGTTTAATTAAGTTGATGTTGTTGAAAAACTTACAGGGGCAGCTTATTGTGTATGCAACACTGGGTTAAGTGATTCAGTGCTTCAGAAGAACATAGATTATGCTTGTGCACAAGGAGCTGATTGTGGTCAGATCAGTCAAAATGGTCCTTGTTTTAACCCAAATACAGTGAAAGATCATTGTAATTTTGCTGTTAATAGTTATTTTCAGAAAAAAGGCCAAACTGCAGATAGCTGTAGCTTCTCAGGCACAGCCACCGTTACCTCAGCAGCCCCATCTGGTAATTTACAAAACTACCCCTACCCTCTTCAAATTCTATATAATTTTTTATTTTTTATTTTTTTTACCTTAATTACTTTCTTGATGGTTTCAGGTGCAACTTCTGCTTGTTTTTCGGGATCTGCAAGGTTTGTTTCTTGAAATCATTTTGTTACTAGATCTTGTGTTTTTCTTTTTCATATTTTAACTATTATATAAGTAGGACATTTCATATAATTTCTATATTCTTTTAATATTTTAAATCCAAAGTAATAGAGAGAATATGATACCTTTTGTATGGTGTTTAGAGCGTAGAAGATGATTCCAAGAAAGCACAAAGTTGATTTTTTACTTTTCCTTTTTGAATCGTGTATTTCCACATATTTGGTCCCATAATACGCGGTTTCCATGCATAACTTTATAACAGTAGTATATTATATAGAAAAATTGAATATCCTCATATTTATCTTCCTAACTAAATGTCCTCATATTAAATCGTTAAAAGTATTGTTTCCATGCATAACTTTATACATACATATTGATTTAGCCCTTAATCTGAAAATCATGGGCTCGATTTTAATTACACATTTAAGGACCATAGCAAGACATGTGGCATGTGATAAAAACAAATTGTACACAATCATGTTAATGTGCAATCGATTTTAAGATGGGTCCAATCCTTTAACTTTATGTAATTGGTACAATTTTGAATTGTCAATTGTCGTGACTCATGATATTAAAATATGACGTGGCCTTTGGTAGTTTTCCCCTCTTTTGACATGTTAGGTCACCATGTGCTTTTTCATTGTGATATGATGGATGTTAATCATGCTTTTTCAAAATCCAAAATACCGTGTGAACTTTTGTTGCTTGTTCGTTAAAGTGCCTCTATTAATGATTATAATTTTGTGTCGACTTGATTTGCTATTAAATTTAATTCTTCCACCTCCGCCTATAACAAAAGGTTGTAATTAGAATATGGTTTTGTGGTAAATTCAATTTTCATTTTTATTTTTGTAGTTCTTCAACTCCGACAAACCCAACTATAGCGCCACCTGGAACCGGGACCGGAACCGGAACGGGGACTGGGACCGGAACTGGAACCGGAACCGGAACCGGAACTGGAATGGGGAGTGGGACCGGGACAAGCACTGGTACTGGTACAGGTACAGGTGTAGGAACTACGAACCCAGCGTTTGGTGGAATGGCTCCATCAGGAGCAATCAACAATGACAACTCTGCTGCTATGACCATTCATCAAACCACAACATGGTTGGGTCTATTAACCGTTTTGATTCTTGGTCTTGTATGGTCGAGGCTAATCTAAGGTTGAAATGAAATGTACGGATGAGATTTCACCATGGTTTTGGTTGCAAGCTTGAAACGCCTACGGTTGTGTTCCATGGATTCCATAGGAGTAGATTCAACCTTTTGTATATCTAAAAGACAACTACTTCTCTTTGTAATTCATCAGCAGTTCCTATGTTTAAATCGTTAGTAGTTGTAGTTTGGATGACGTTCAACATTCCATTAGAAGGGGACAACGTTATTGTCATAATAATATGTTTGGTAATGTGCTAAGAGTATTGTATGATTTTTTTTTTTTTTAAAAGGCCTAACCTATTTTGCTTACTAATTCATTTATAGATAAAATATATCTGATTTGATTATAGATAAAGTATAGTTATTCACAAATAACCATTTTGAGTGCATTATGTTAATCAAACAATCCCTCTGGAAAATATAAGCAAATGATTACCAAGTCTGAGAATTTTATCACGGATTTACTATATTATAGTACTTTTTTGACACACGTTTAACAATTTGATTATCACTTTCTTAATTCTTTCTATTGAAAAAATATTTTTTGAGTGTTGTTTTTCGTAAAATTGTTTGCTGGGTCATCCAAGGGATCAAGAAACGTGATTGTTATTATCTAAACGAAGAATGTCATTGTTTTATTTTTAATCTATTCCTAATTGTCGGTTCAGATTATGTGGGCTTCTATTATGGTAAACTATTTCGCCTAAGATATTTAATTATATTTTTCCAAGATATGAAAGGCCTTAATAGTATTAAGAAAGAAATAAGAGATAATTAATACATGTAAGGGTAAATGTCATAATAGCCCAACCTAACTTACTGGTTTTGGTTTAAATGATCCCTAAACTTAATTTTTTGCTTTTTAGATCATAAAGTGCGTACTGGCCGGTTTAAATGGTCCCTTTCACCGTTGAAAACCGGTTGCTTATGCCACCTCTACATTTGAAGCTGATGTGTCAACCACATCAACATCGTAATTTCAAGTTTCCTTAATGAATATGATTTTTAACTAAAAAAAGAAATAAAACTAAAATCATTCATATTGTTCTTCGTCAACAGAGTTTTTTGTTGCTCCCCATTCACAGAATCCAACCATCCATCGGGACTCTACAGGTGCACTCTATGGTTATACCTTTTGATTTTTTTGGGTTTTGTCGGCAGTTCATCTCATCGACTTTGCCATTGCAAGTGATTGTCCGACGATTGTTCAGGGTCCGATCAGATCTCTGAAAAACAAATCTTAGTGGTGGTTATGGAGATGGAGTCTTTGGGGATCAAACTAGAGAATCGATTCAACGAGTATCAACTTCTTAACCTCTTACATTTAATCAATGAAATGGGTATTGACTCTCAAGTGAGTTCAACGAGTCCTTCCATTCCGGAGATTCCAACCATTCTGACGACTACGGTTTCTTCTCCGATGGAACCTGATGCATCAGTCGATGTACTTTCCTTCATTATCACTGTATCGTCATGTGGATCCCCATTATTAATAGCAACGTCTTTTGAGGGTGTGTGGTTAGTATAGAAATTTTGATAATGGAGATGATGTTTGTTAGTGGCTAGATTGTCTTCTAAGGGCATAAGTTTGTTGATTGATTAGGTGGTGAAGGTACAGATGGGGAGACGGATGTTGAAGTTTGGTAAGGGCGGTTGAAATCGATGAAGTGATTTCTGGTCACTGTGGCAACATAGTCTTTTGGTAGGTTAAGGATATTTATAGGGATGTATCCTAATGAACTTGAATATTATTTGAAATTGGTAGGGTTCATGTGATCTAGTAGTGAAGGAGAAAGTGAGAAAGAGATGAGGGAGAGTCATTGCCTTTAGAACAATGGTTTGGTTCTGAACGATCCACTGACTTCTTTACTTTTATACTTACATGGATCTAAACTGAAACAAAGAAGGCGGTGAAGATGAAACATAGCAGGTGGTAAGCGGTTAACAAAAGGAAGGGTTTCAATTGGGGTCGATGGACCTCTGATTCGCAGATTCAGATGAAGCCTCCGATTTAGGTGAATTTGATACCGGTGAATGCATGTTTTAGATTCTGGCTTCACGATATGGATTCACTGAAACAGGAGGAATTTGGATGTGGTTGCCGATGAGGTTTCATCTAGGAGAAAGAGAGTGGAAGGGGTAGCCTACGTGAGGAAAAGAAATATACCCTCTTAACGATTTGTCTTCTTCATGTTGGTGATAAGAGAGAGAGAGAGAGAGAGAGAGAGAGAGTTTGAATTCCCTTTTTTATTACTCCAAAAGTAAAAATGTCATTTAATCCAAATTTAACTCGTGAAACCGGGAAAAATGAAATTCAATACCTTTTTTAATAAGTCAATTCTAAGTTTAAGGGTCTATACTACCAAAAAAATATGTAAGAGACCTTTTAAAACAAAACCGGAAAGTTGGTTGGACTACAGTGACATTTACCCCTACATGTAAAGATGTTTTAGCAGTAGAGGTAAAAAAATGACATGAGTTACTACTTACTAGTATTAAGAAAGAAATAAAAGTTGTGGGAAAATGGATTTCTAGTGCCGTTATAGACACTTATATTTGAACTTATCAAAGAGAAGAACCATCTAGAAAATGTTATTAGAATTAGGTTATATTTTATTTGTGGTGAAGAGCATATGTCTCTTGCAATCTACGGAATTGAGGAAATAAATATAGTTATTTTATAGTTGTTAATTAATGTAACACACTTAGATGAGATGACTTTCCAATTAAAAAAACAATGTGTATATGCCCTGAAAACCTAGCCACTTACAATAATCCCAAGTCCCAACATGTATTTATATCATCTTTTTTTTAATAACTTCTTGAAGCCTCTAACCGAAAACAAACAAAACCCGCAATCACACTCATCACGATGTTGGGGTAAACTGTTGACAAACTTAGTATTCAAAGCCACATGAGTAGGCTCTTGTCCAATCTTTTCCTAATAATCCTTGAACTTAAAGAAGTAATTGAAATAAGCTTTAAAATGTTGTAATTATTATTCATCACCGTGGTGGCCTAGTGTTAGAAAGGCTTGGGAAGTTACCAACCCAAAGAAATAATCAATTTCAATCCCAGCGTGGTTTTAATTAGGGGTGACCACCAGCCTTCCAAATGGATACTTTAAATGGTTTGTGTGTGTTGTCGGGTGGACAAAGGGCTAGAAGGTTACCTTATTAGGTCATCAGTAATGGCTCAAGTGGGGTCCTCTATTATCGAAAAAATGTTGTAGTATCTTCCTTGATTTTCTCATTTTAGTCTTTTGAAACTAGGGTATCATAAATATTCAAATTCTACGTCACACACTCGTAAGAGTGTGCATCATTTACAACCATGTTAGCTTGCACTTGTGAGCTTGTGTTAGAAATTTGGGGTAATAAAATGCTTGAAAATTCTGAGAATCGTGTGTACACTTTCAATTAAAGTATTTGGGTGACACTTCCAACCTTTAATCGGATAAGACTCGGAAGAGTTTCAAGAGCAGAGAATATGAAGTTATGATTTTCGTGATTGTTGTTGTACCAGGAAAATGATGACCAAAATGATTAAGTACTTCATTTGTCTAAAAACTATCAAGACAAATTTCTTTGTCCAAAAACTACTCCAACTGTCAAAACCAATTGATAACAGTCATAAACTGTCACTAAAACTGAATTATTAATAAGGGTCAAAATGAAGTAAAAAATCAAGTTCATTTACAGAAAATTCAGATTTCTAAAGGGTTCTGCCTCTTGGACCCTACCAGGGGCTGCCGCCCCTTGGACCCCGCTCCCCGGGGCGCTGCCTCCGGACCCCCGTTCATTTACGGGCTTCACCAGTAAATGACAGTCTACTTTGAATTTTGAATGAACTTAAACAATTGTGCACTCTATACCTTCCTTACTTGTTCAATATTCATCAATATTGATTTTTGGTTAACAAATCAATCCATTACATTCAAATACACATTGATGATACAAAATCACCAACAAACCTCCCCCATTTAAGTGTAATCTTGATTAACTTAAAACAAAACATAACAACAACAAACTGATGCATAAATGAAATGTCGTGACAATTGAATTTCACGTTAGTATATTATTCAATCCAAATATTCAAATATTAGGGTGTCACTAAGGATTGAACCCTTTTCTATTCATAGTGAATACATGAAAATAATACACACAACAGATTATATTCTCATAAGTTCTAACTTAACACTATATTTTACTAGCTTGTGTCTCATCCTTCAATAAGCATATCAAAGCCAAGTCCTAACTTCTTGAAGCAACTAAACTTCATGCTTATATAGGTAGTCCTTTTATTCTTGCACCTACAAATGTAATTTTTCAAAAGAACTATTAAGAATATAAATTCAACCTCCTTAACTTGCAGTACTGAACACATACCTTGGGATGATAATAATAATGTGTTCCAATCTTCAAATATCAAGCTTTCCATATTGAATTCAGCATCTAATATTACATTAGTTGGGAATTGGGTATCTCGGTATAAAATATTTTAAATACTTTAAACTTATCCCTACAACCGCCTTATGCACAAGATCTCTTGCTAACCCTTTGGCTAGATAATCGGCTAAATTCAACTGAGTTCTTACAAAGTCCACAGATATCACACCGGTCATGATGAGCTCACAAATCATGCAATTTCTAACACCTAAATGTCTAGACTTTCCATTGTACACTTGACTATAAGCCTTAGCGAAGGTTGCAACACTATCACATCTGATAGAAATGGTAGATATCGGTTTGGTCCATCATGGATTTACATAAATCAAATTCCCTAGACACTCAACTAGTTTACCAGCAACAGACAATGCAACAAACTCAGACTCCATAGTTGAGTTAGTAATACAAGTCTACCTCTTACATGCCCAAGAAATGGCTCCTCACCCAAGAAGAAATACACAACCACTTGTAGAAGAGTGATCTTCTAAGTTGGTAATCCAACTAGCATCTAAATAACCTTCCAAAACAGAAGGATATCTACTATAAGTCAAACCATAATCTGTGGTTCCTTTCAAATACTTGAAAACTCTATTCACTACTTGCCAATGATGTGAACTAGGATTACTAGTATATCTACTAAGCCTTCCCACAACATGTGTTATATCAGGCCTAGTACTAATCATGACATACATTAGATAACCAATAGCCCTTGAGTATTCAAGTTGAGACACTGTAGATCCTTTATTAGGTAGCAGCTTAAGACTAGGATCTATAGGAGTTTTAACATGAGAACAATTCTCAAAGTTAAACTTTTTCAATATCTTCTCGATGTAATGAGATTGAGAAA